GATCAATCTTTGCTTATTGTAAGAAATGAGAACAAAATATTCCCACTTCATTTTTTCCTCTTCTAACGGGCCAATATGCCCCCAAAAAGGCTTCAAGCCGAAGCCACAAGCCCACGCTTAAGCCCATTTATGCCACAAACTAAATTGTGAAGGGAGCCTTACATGAGTGAGCATTAGGTCGGACACATTCATTATTTGCAAGTATCTTATCTACTTAGATAAGTATTACACTCAAATTATAAAAAAATAAAGCAAGTAAGAGGTATGAAAAGAGTATATCCCTCAATATAAGTTAAGTAACAAATATAGGGGTTTAAAATAGTTTACTCACCAACGACTTGTTGGTTCTAGTGGAATGAGTTCGGTTTCTTTTAAATAAGGTCTTGAATTTGAATATCATGAATGGAAAAAAGGCGCCAGGAGAGTTTTCCCCTTTATGGGGTCTGACACAGCTTAATTCTGAATTAGTCAGATCCAATGAGGTTACCATATATCAGGAGATTAATACAAAAAAAAAAAAGATATGTTACTCGACTTATTTAATTGATATATTAGTTGTATTTATATAATTAAAATTTTACATATACTTATATAATTAATATTTATATAATAAAAATAATTTTTAAAAATAAAACTAATAAAATACAAAAAAAAAAAGATATGTTTACTCGACTTATTTAACTAATATATTAGTTGTATTTATATAATTAAAATTTTACCTATACTTATATAATTAATATTTATATAATAACAATAATTTTTAAAAATAAACTAATAAAATACAAAAATAAAAATAAAAGTAAAGTAAGGCTTATAAGCTAAACAAATCACACACATAACAATACCAACTCGTATAAATAACAAATTCTAAGTCAAATACATAGCACATGCAACAATAACAACTCCATCATACAAGGTATCTTCTTTTTTTAAGTCAAGTACACAAGTATACTTGTAAGTTACATAGTACTTATTGAGTTAAGTACCCAATATAGGTTTTTAAGTATTTGGTTAAGTACCAAATCTAAAAAGGTATACATGAAAATTTTTAAGTCAAATATTAAATATAACTCATATCCAACTTGTACCCAAAAACACTTACCCCTTTTTTCCTCAAAAATCCTTAGTTGGCCCTAGCCATGTGAGTTTGAGAATAAAGCGTGCCACTTGTTTTGTCTAAAAACAAGAAAACAATATTTTCCAGATGACGCTTCTTCTTTCCAACGATCAACCTTCAAAAGGATGATTGGAAAGAATGTCTGTGAACTAAACTATGCCATAGATGATATTGCAAAATAGAGCGTGGAGTTCTGCAAAATGGGTTATTAATTGCTTTGGACACCTTTAAGGACTTAAAAACCACTAAAGTGTAACAAAAGCTAGAAATTCTAAATTAAATATAATATCCTAAGACAAATTATCCTAACACGATATTAATAAAAGAAAACAACATGCCACAGAAATAAATTCAAAGACAACAGACTATGTAAAATTGTAGACAATTATTTTAACTACACAATTCATAATAATTAAATTACTTACTCACAGATTTAAAATAAAGGTAACTGAACTACTTGGTTGCTAAAACTAAAAAAGAATCTATGAATTGATCAAAGTCTAAAAACTTGTAAAATTAAATCTTAATCTAGAAATTGAAATTAAACAAGTTGTAAGTCTGGCAGTTGTTCAAAAACAAAGAAAATAAGGTAGAAGGCATTAAGCATTCAACCTATTTACATAAACGAATGATAGAGAAGAATCCATAAGAGAAAGAAAACTTACCCAATTTATGGGGTTGGCCCGTTTTTCAGGGTTAATTTGTTTCCAGTTCTTTCCAACTTACCAAAGTTTGCATTTTTTGGGGGAAATTTTGACCAGGGTTGGAAAACCTTAACTTAAGGTTTTGACCAGGACCAATTTTTGCCCTTTATTCTGGAATTTTTGTTAAATTTTAAAGGAATTATTTGAAAATTGAAGATGCATACGTGTTAGGCTGTTTTTTTGTAGGGCAGGTCATGTAGAACTAATTTTTTCCTCTTGTTTTCCTTTTCTTCAATGTTGGGATCCTTCCTCCATGATTCTTGGCCTTCTCCCACCATAAACGGATAATGGGGCGCTCCACGTCTAAGGTAGTTTCCTTTTGTCTAGCAACTCATAGTTTTAATCCAATTTTAATTCTAATGAAACCCTAATAGTAACCTTCTTCTAAAAACCCTCAACTTCCTAATTTAAATCAAACTCAATTACTAAGTAGATCACCTTATTATCTGCCACGTAAGTTTAACCCACCATGAATTCCGTTTGGTCTGTAAGTTTTCAAGTTGTCCCAAACCAATCCATCCTACTGACTTTTCTTACATGGATCTAATAGGTGGGCCCTAACTTGACTTATGTCTTCATCCCATTGGTTTTACTCTAGGTGTAAACACCCCTGACCTTACATTACATGTAAGTTTACTCAAGAGCCAAAACTTAACATAGTTTAAAAATTTTAATGTTTTCAGACATTGTGTTAGGGTTTAGGAAACAATTGAATTTGTGACATTTCAAGATGCATAGACGGGAGAATCTAAAGCAGTGGGGCAGAAGTTGATAAAATTCTTCAAGACAAGAAATCTGAAATCATGTAGAGGTATTGGGGTGAACTGCTTGAGCTTTGAAAAACAGTCAAAAAAGGAAGCCACTTTACTCATGGAAAAATACACCCCCTCAAAGCCTTGGAAAAGAACATCTAAAGCCTTGAAGGGTTTGAGATACACCAATGCTATGGAAAAAAGTTTGTGAAGATAGATATTTTGTGTAGAGAAACATAATTTAGCAAATAAGATCCCAGAACAAGAATTTGCTTACCATTTCCCACGTTTGATTAATTGGCAGAAATGAAACATCTTGCCACATTATTCATAAATATACTTTTCAAATGGACATAATTCTTAAGTGTTTTTAAAGATGTGTGACAAATAATAAAAATTTAAAATCAAGAAGGCTATAGTTAAATTAGTGCTTATTAACTTAAAATTTTAGATTTGAGATTTAGTTTAGGGATTCAAAAGTAAGCATTTTTATTTAATATATATTATAATTATTTTTTAAATATAAGTAAAATATGAATAAAT